CAGATAGATAGATAGATAGATAGATAGATAGATAGATAGATAGATAGATAGATACCATAGTATTATGAATGATATGTTCATAATTTTGTTAGCCAGTAGGGTCTACAACGTCTGACTGTGTACGCAGTCGTGGTGATATGAGTATGTGTGAGCTTTGGAAAGAGCAATATTCCTACGGTTCTGCATTATTTCCCAAACATAACTTGTTCTTTCTTTGTTTCTGTTCAGAGTGAGAGCGCAGAAATTAGACGGGCACGACGTAGGCAGGAAGTCCTCTATAACGAACTCAGTAAGTCATCTATAATGAGTTGTTTCAAACAGACAGGAGGGCCTAAGCAGCCGGCCTCCTAAATCATCTATATTGTATCCATAGGTTATAAATAAGGGGGGGGGGGGTTGAAACGAATACTATTACAATATTAATGTGTACTACATTACTTTCTGAGCCCTGAAATTACTACTCCATATTATTTTTATTGTTTCTTAAACAATAAGAAGGGAAGTCGAGCGATACAACAATGTTCAGTCATAGGTTTTTCAGATCAAACTGTTCGAGGCTCGAAATAGAAGAATGACAACTAAAACAGGCCAAGGGGTTTAAATATCTTAGCAGCATTTATTTATTTTTTTCCTGAAAGCAGCCGTAGATAGAAATAGAATAGAAGAACTGTATTCGATGCGTCAGAACTGATGATATTGTTTTCAAGATAAAATAACAGTATCGGGTTGTTTATTTTTTGGATTTGATAACATTATGTCCTGTACAAAGGAACTGTACTATGTTTTATATCGTGTATTCTTATAAAAAAAATTATTTCCCCCGAATTTATTTTTTTTTAAAGCTATTCTATTTATCAAATCTGATATTTTGGCTTCTGAATTTGAAAACTTTGTGTACTGAACGAAGTAACTGTAGGTTGTAATTTAGATCATCAAATCTTATCATTTATTTTGTTTCCTGAATGAAAGAACACCGCTCTATTTATCAAATCTGATACTTTGGATACTGAATAAAAAGAACTTTATTCTGTTAGTCAGATCTTATATTTCTGCATGTTGTTTAGTCAGGTTTAATGTTGTTGCATGTTGTTTAGTCAGGTTTAATGTTGTTGCATGTTGATAAGTTAGCGCTGACTATGCTATTTTGGGCTCTAAATAAAAGAAATAAAAGAAGTGGTTTGGTTTTGTTGAAACAGAGGAAGGTGAGAGACAGCACAAACAGAGCAAGGATGAGTTCAACAGATACCTGAAAGCTCCGGTAATGGACCTGTTTGGTTTTTGTTTTGTAGGGTTGTTTTGGGGGTTTTTTTCTTTTGATTATTGCTGCTCTTGTTGTTGTTGTTGCTGTTGCTGTTGTTGTTGTTGTTGCTGTTGTTGTTGTTGTTGTTGTTGTTGTTGTTGTTGTTGTTGTTGTTGTTTTTGTTGTTGCTGTTGTTTTTTGTTGTTGTTTTTGTTGATGATGTTTCTGTTAAACATATTGTTGCTGTTGTTATTGTTGTCACTGTTTCGAGGCCACACTGTAAATGTTGCGGTTATTGTTATTGTTCCTGTTGATATGGATGTTTCTGTTAATTATACTGTTGTTGTTATTATTATTGTCACTGTTCGCAGCTGTAAATGCTGCAGTTATTGTTGTTGTTGTTGCTTCTGTTGCTGCTCTAATTGCTGTTGTTTTCGTAATGTGGGATTTTTATTTTTTGAAACTACTGTTGTTGCTGCATCTGCTGATGGTGTTGTTACTGTTGTTGTTATAACTTCTAAAGTCGGTGAGGATGATGATGATGATGATGATGATGATGATGATGATGATGATGATGATGATGAGCAAAAAAAGCAGGCGTAGGATACTATCTTGTGTGTTGCCGACTTTTAGGATTATCTATGATGTTATCTAGTAGGGTGTACATCTCATGAAAACAACTCCAAAATTTAAAATTTCCTCGCTGTTCTGTCAAAACAATGCATGTTTCCTAAGATCGTTTTTTAAATCTTCTTTTTTCTTTGCTTTGTTCTTTTTGTTTCATTTTTTTCAACATTTATCATGTTCATTTTTCTAAGATATATTTCCTTGATTTGTTGTTTTTATTGTAGCATCTTGAATGTGTTTTTTTAATGGAAATTTTGTTTCTTCTTTAATTGTATTTGTTGTTTAAGTTATGTCTTGTACATGAATGTTTTTGTTCTATTTTAATATTCCGTCCCGCATGATTTCTAAATAATATTCTTTTTT